GCCAAGCAGGAGTTTGAAAGTTGTCCTCAGAGCATAGGGGAAGCCATAGAAAGGTTTTAAGCAAAGGAGAGATGTAGTCAGTGCACGTTCCAAAGACAACTGCAGCTATACTGCTGAGAACTGACGGCTGGGGGTTGCTAAAGTCCAGTCCAGGAGGCAGTCCCGGAAATCCCAGGGAGAACTGACAGTGGCCCAGACCAGGACGGGGGGGGGCTAGGTTAGTGGATCTGCCGTAATAAGGAGGCAGGACTGATAAGACAGGTGACTCAATCTGTGGGAAGAAAGAGAAGGCAGGAGCATACCAGGCCCTCACACTGGCTGGGCCTGGCCCCTTAATCTCCCTGCTATCACCACAGCAAGCCCCCATCTCCCTTCTCCTAATTATGGTGTGGGAACCTGACTCAGCCCGCTCTGCTCTGTTGTCCCCTTTCCAGCTCCCCTGGCAAAGAAGGAAGAAACGAGAACCAGAAACATGTGGCTCAAGTGAACCAACTGGGAGGAATCCCACAGAGGGGAAGTGTTGGCGGCCAGTTCCTCCTACCACTGAAAATGCCAGCAGCCGGCGCCGCCTCATCTCTGAGTGCCATGGTGGGCTGGCAGGTAAGCCCAGGATCTGGAAGTTCTCCACCCACCATATCCACCCACCACCACTCCCCCCAGCCAGACTGTTAGCACACACACACCCCGGGGACTGTGCCCAGACGCGGCTGCCGCCTCCCTGCGGCTGCTCCCTCTCTACAGCCAGGCAGCACCGGAAAGGCTTCCCGAGGAGCCAGAGGGTCTCAGTCCTCCCAGGAGCTGACAGATGCCTCTCCCTATCTTGCTGTGGACCCTTCCGTCCCGGACACCAGACGTGTGTGTTTCTCTTCGGGACCCACCCAGCCCTGTATCTCCTACTCTCCTCCAGAGGCTCCTGGCAGGGATTCCCCTCCCCAAATCCCTCAGAGGCCCTGGGGAGGCTGGCAGTGGGGGAGGGGCCGGCCCCACACCTGCTTTGCCCCCACCTCACTCCCTACATCCCCCATCACTGCTTCTCCAGGAATGTCCAGCTGAGATTCCCCTGAGAGGGTCCCCCATCCTTGGGGAGCTCCCCTCCCCAAAAGGGCCTCCCATCTATAAACTATATAGGGTTTGCATGTGACCTTTCATGTTCATCCTGTGTTGTTTTACCTTAAATGCACCACGTGCGTATCTTTGAAATCAGAAATATTTATGACCTTAACTTACGTTTTCATTAAAATATCTTATGCTTACATGCAAATGATCACGGGGCTTCCAGCAGAGCCACACAATCGAATTACTCCCCTAGGGTGCGAGTGTGCCCGGTTCTCTGCGGGCTCTCATGCAGACCAGCCGCCTCTGTTAGCCTGGAAGCTTCTGACGGGCGGAAACCTCACTGCCTGCTTCTCGGAATCCCCCACCCCACAGACAAAGTCCTGCTTATTGTCAGATGGCATCTGAGCCACCTCCTTGCTCTGACCTCTGGGTACCTCCTGGCAGGACCTCACGAGGGGCTGCCTTCCCCGCCACGCCCCCCACGCCCTCACGGAGCGCACCGCCGGTGCAACACGTCCTGTGCCAGGAGCAGCCGGACTCTGCGATCTGGAGAAGACACATTCAGGGCTCCTCGCAAAGGTCTGACACGGGCCAGGCCTCCAAGGATCTCACAAGAGGAGTCCGACCTCTGTTAAGCGGTGAGTGTTCAAGCAGAGGTGTGTCGAGTGAGGTGCCCCGGAAGGGGGTGTGTGGAACCGTGGGGGCACCCTACACCGACCGCCAGTTCATGAGCACAGCTGTTCTGCCCTCCTGCCCCCCAGGCCGCTTTACACTCACACGGGAATATACAGACGTTCACTGCAGCCATTTCCGACGGGGGCGGGAGGGCGGGGAGGGGAGTCTGGAAAGAAGCTTAAAGTCTGTCACCAAGGGTCAACCAAGGGAGCTGCGGTATACACATCCAGGGGAGTGTAGTTATCAAAACAGTACGAAAGCTCTCGATGCCGACAGGAAAGGAACGCCAAGACACGGGTATGTGAAAAAAGTCGCAACATGATTCATATGTGACCTCGTGTTTTACACACACAGAGCTGAACCCCTTTTCTAGCAGGAACGGTTGCAGAGATGAGCAGAAAAAGGACGGGGGGTGGCTTTCTCTTTACACACACACACACACACACACACACGAGACCTCTGTGTTCTTACTAATGTGACCGGACAAAAGGAAACAGCAGTACACAGTAAGCGATGCTGCAGCGGAGACGGGAGACCGGGAGAGCCTAAGCAGGCGCTCTCCACAAGCTCCTCTCTAACTCCAAGAAGAGCCACTCGGTGAGGGCATAAACACACAGCTCTTCTCTTTCCAATCTCAAGGACAACAAGGTGGTACGGTGGGTGCTGTAGGGGTCACTGGTGTGAAATCCCAGAGACCAAGATTCCATCCCAGGTCTGCTGGCGACTGCTCGCATGATTCTGAGGAGGCTACCAGGCTCCATGTTCCTCGTCTGCACTGGGCAGTAAGGAGGGACAGAAAATGGGTTTCTAAAAGCCCACAGACCAGCCCTGCCAACCACAGGCTGGGATCCTAGCTCAGTCCCAGCCTGACTCTCCCTCAGAGCCTCCCTTTCCTCTCGGATTCTTTTTGAGATCTGCCTTCGGCTCAGGTCATGGTCTCAGGGTCCTGGGATCCAGCCCCACATCGGGCTCTCTGCTCAGCAGGGAGCCTGCTTCCCCCTCTCTCTCTGCCTGCCTCTCTGCCTGCTTGTGATCTCTCTCTGTCAAATAAACAAAATCTTAAAAAAAAAAAAAAAAGCAAGGGACAGGGACAGGGAAGAGGACCACCCCGCTCCCAGAATGTTGCAAGGACGAAATAATACCATGTATCTAAAGTGCTACACACAGTGCCTGGCACCTCCTTTGTGTCCAAACAAACAGCAGCTGCCCGAGTTACTGCTGAGTGAGGGCAAGGACACCTGCCCGGTCTCCATCATGGGGTCCTGGGATCAAGTGAGATGGATGCTGGGAAAGAGCGCCAGAAACAGAGTTGAACACAAAAGTGAGGGGTGCTTACGTAAGGATTCCTCTCCCATCTCAAGGCCAAGCCTCAGCTACCACACAGCTAAGATCCCTAATTTTGGAGAGGGGAGAAATGTAGAATGCTCTCTTCATTCATCCTGTGGACAAAATTCTAATCAGTTCTTTATTTGGGGTCCCCATATCAACTAGACAGGAAACCATGAACCAGAAGGGGAAAACTGGGCTGCTAGAAGTAGATACTGGCTTCTGCTAATTATATCCCAGCTCAGGAACCCTCAGTCCTGGTGGCCAATCCATGGATCCCCTCAAATCCTCCCAACTCTGATGCCCCACCCTCCAGACACTGGGCAAACAGACCCACACTTCTCAAGGTCACGAAACCCAGCCCAAACCCAGCCCAACTCCTCAGGCTCTAATAAACATCATCCCAGGGCACACTCCTCTCCCACGCTACTCCACAAACCATGGGGTCCTTTCCCAGAAACTTCCACAAACACATCTCCTCCCAGAGTCCTGAAATGCTTCTTCAATGCTGTTTGCCTGCTCCACAAAACCCTCTCCCTGTCACCCTCCAGGAACATCCCTCCAAGTCCTCCTGTCCCTGGTCCCTTTATCTCCATGTTGGACGGCACAGCACTACAGTCCAGGGTTCTCCACCTGACATCCTCTACACACCTCCCGTCTCAAAACGATTGCCTGCACCCCCCCACCCCCTCCGCACTCCTCCACACCCCCCAAACTGGAGTTTCGGCTCTGCGGCTCTTCCATACCGGCTCCTAGAGCAAGTCCTGGCCCTGTCCACGCTTCCACCCCCAGGGCACCCCACCCTACACCCGATAGCCACACATACCGGCCTCCCCAAAGTTGCCTCTTAAAGGAGAGGGCACACATCTTCCTCCTGGGACCCCGCCTCTGCCCTCTTCTCATCCCGAGTCCTCACCCAGCCATCTTTCAATCCCCCCCACCTCCCTCCCCCGTCCAAACGCTCCGAACACACCCGGTCCCAGGCTCCCTGACTTCCTCTCCCCACTCAGACCAGTTCCCCGCTCGACTCACTCTCGCTCTCGGCGGCTCCCAAGTTTCTCCGACGCCCCCCTCTCCCACCCTAAGCCCATCAGGTTCCACCTCCAACCCTCACCTGGTCGGGGACGGGGTTGGGAGGCCAGCGGTACCTTTCAGGCTTTTGCTCACTCCCAACAAGAGCCCCCACTCCCCGAGTCCTCCCACCACTCTGCTGAGTTCTCCTGGGCTCCCTTCAGGGCCCGAGGTCCTCACCAGGGAACCCGTCTGCCGGTCAGCTCACTCCCACTCCAGCTCCTAGCCGGTTCCGGTCCCCTGCGCCCCTCCTCTCGGCCGGCCCCGGTCGGACTCTCCAGCCCCGGGGCCTCCCTCCCACCTCGAGCCGCCGGGTGCCCTCAGGACCCCCCTCGGACGGCCCCTCACTCCGTCTCCGGGCCGGTCGCGGTCCCCTCCCGCCCCCCCGGCCGTCCCGGCGGCCATTGCTCCAAGATGGCGGCTGCGGCGGCTGCGGGTGAGGCCGGGCCGGGCCGGGCGGGGGGTCGGGGGTCCCGGGGAGGCGCTCACCTGCAATTCGGCGCGCTCGGCCTCCCAGCGGGCCTTCTCCGCTTCGAAGCGCGCCCACTCGTGCTGGATAAAGTGCAGGATCCCCGGCAGGCTCAGGGGCTCAGGCCCCGCCGTAGGCCCGGGGCTGCCTCCGCCGCCGCCTCCCTTACCAGCCGGGCCGGGCCCCGGGGCAGGGGCAGCGGGCGGGGCCGCCCCCGTCGGGCCGGGGCCCGCGCCGGAGCCCAGCGGGCGGCAGGAGGAGGCGGCGGCGGCGACCGCGGCTGCCGCTCGCTCCTCCATCATGGAGGCCCCGGGGCCGGCCCGCGCGCCCGCTGTGCCTCGCGCGCCTGCGCGGCCGTACCAACCGCCCCCCCCCCCACCCCACCGCCCCGCACGGCCCGCGCGCGCGCTCGGCGGGGGCCGGGGGTGCCGATGATGGGAACGAGTCCGTGCGCGCGCCTCGCCCACCCGGGTCGACCCCAAAAGCGCGCGCGCGCGCCTCCGGGTGGGCGGGAAGGGGCGGGGCGGAGAGGCGCGCCCCGAGGAGGGCTAACCGAGACCCAGGCGGAGCGCGAGGGTCGCGCCTGGGAAGAGCAGGACTTTGGGAGGAGCCGCTTTCTGCCCCTCTCCTCCTGCTTCGCCCCAAAGAAAAATTCTAACTCCCTCCAGACCCAAATGTCACTCTCCTTGACACTGTTCCTCTGAGAGAAAGGGCGACTACCAGGGGTGGTCTCAGCAACGGCCCCATCCTCTCCGTTTCCTGGCCCAGGTCGGTAGTCAGTGTAACCCTTCCCCAGCCTGGAACCCTCCCTCTTTGTGGTTATGGAGCCCCAAACCTCTCCTGTCCTTGCACCAGGGGGAGGTCGCAAGGTAACTTAAGTCCCGGGTGGTCCTTGGGCCCCAACCTTCATTTGGTTACTATGGCAACCTCACCTAGCACTCAGGTAGAAAGGACCCCAGCCCCAAGGACACTGCTGAGAGAACACCTCTTTCCCAACCCCTCCCCCTAGCCACCCAGCTGGCATTACCATGGTAACCGTTTCCCCCCCTCTTTCTCATCGTGGGAGGTCCATGGACCAAGCCAACCAGGTGTTTTTATTTAGAGAAGATGCTCTGCTGAGGAACCGTTGCTATGGTTACAGGGCCTGGACCAGGAGGTGGAAAAAGGCAAGGCCAACCCCTGGTTGCTATGGTAACCAGGGACCTACAAGGATAGTCCCCCTTCCCGTGTCCCTAAGAACCAGGCCCACCAAGGTAGGGGACAGTTTTAAGATTGTGTCTCAGGATGGAGTGGGTCTAGGGAAGGGGTTGTTACGGTAATGGCTTTGGTCACTTCTAGTACCACCTTTCTGGGCACATATATAAGAAGGGATGGTTATAGGCTGCTGGGATAACTGACATCCTTCCCACCCATTCCTGAGATACCCCAGGTGGGGCCCGAGCTCATGGAACTTCAAAGAGAAAGGATTCTCTGACCTTCTCATTGCCACTTTTGCAGGCAAGGTGAAATCGTACTCTGCTGTACAAAATTGGCTGATTTGGGGTTTTCTGGTTCTCGTTCCCTCAGCAGTGCAGCTGAGCTGGGCTGGAGCCGCCCACCCGGAGCTCCCGCAGCAACCTAGGAGGTAAGAAGTTCCTGAGTGTCACCAGCGCTGCTGTGGAAACTGCCCTTCTCCCCCTCCGTATCACTCATTTTCTTTGCCTGTCACCTTCCCATTCCACAGATGGGACAGCCGAGGCTCAGTCCAGAGCAGAGCTCAGGCCAGGTGAACCTAGGCCGAAAGTGAACCTGAGTCTACTTACATTGTTTTCTGGGGAATGGAGAGACAAAGTCTCAGCTTGACTGTCCTCTCCTCCTGGACCACCTTTTCTCTGTCACACCCCCCGCCGGTTTCCTGACCCATCTGTAAGTTCTGTGTGTGTTTTTTGTCTTCCCACCTCTGGAGGGCCTGCCCAGTGACTGCTTTGATCTTTCCCTGTTCCCAGAACACAGTCTGGCGCAGAGAGTCCTCACTAGGTATCTGTCTGTTGAGTTAATGGGTGAATTAATTCAGTGATTTGCCATATTCAGCTTTGAAAAACACCTGTCAGGTTGGGGCTGCAGAGTGCTCAGTGAAGGTGGACAGCGAGCTGGGCGGTCTTGAGTGGACCCAAGAGAGAGCAGAGCTTCCTGGTTGAAAACATGACTCTGGAGCCAGGGTTGTGGGTCAAATCCTGGGTCCACTATTTCCCAGCTGTGTGACTTGAATGAGTGCCTTCACTTCTCTGTGCTGCTTTGTCCTCACTTTTAAATGTGATCAGAACATGAAAATGAAACAAGGTAATTTAAGTGCTTAGAAAGGGATCTGGCCCTATGGTGAGCAGCTAGAATTGTTGATACTATCATCGTACTGCGATTCAGAGAAACACAGACATTCAGACCTTCAGAACCATCGTTTCAGACCCTTTGCCTCGATAAAGGAGTTTTGAGCCCTTACAGTTGGGAAAGCCAAGACCAACCGCGTCAGGGCACTAAGTGATTCCTTGCTCTTTCTTCTCTGGTCCCCTCCCTGCTGGTCTGGCTGCCATACCCACTGGTCTCCGAGGCCCCGATTTCTGTCCTCTGTCCCCGGCACCTCGTGGCCCAGAGCCAGCCAGATGGAACATGCCGAGCGCCAAGGCCTGGGAGGTCGAGACCGGGGTTTTCCCTCCATCCTTCCTGTCCCTGAGCTACAGTTTCCCCATCTGAACACCCAGAGCCAATCATTTGTGCCACACACATGTATTGAGCACCTGGTGTGTTCCCGGCACTGAGCTGTGCCCTGAGCGCACAGCAGGGAACAAAAGAGTAAGTCAAATCTACGAGCTAACGACTAGGGGAGAAAAACGCAGGGATGAGGCACAGGAAGTACGTGGGTGATAGGGAGATACGTTTTGAAAGAGAGTAGCCAAAGAAAGGGCTTCCTGGACAGGTGACATCGGAGCAGAGACGCAAGGGTCACGAGGGAGGAGCCATGCAGATACCTGGGGGACAGCGTCCAGACAGAGGTCATAGCCAGTGCTTTGGCTGCTGTGCCCTGGGAGGATTTGAAGACTAGTGTTTGGCCAGCATGGCTGGAGCTGACAGTCAGTGGGAGAGACTGGGACCACATGGGGCCTTATGGGCCCTGGTGAAGACTTTGGCTTTTCGTTTGAGTTGTAAGCCACAGAAGGTTCGAGCAGGTGCAGGACAGAATCTAATTTGAGTTTTCACACGATCCCTCTGGGTGCTGAGTGGGGAACAGCCCTGGGGAGGTGGGGGAATGAGGGCAGAGCAGGAAAAGGGTCTCTACAGAGTCTTTAGAAGATTCTAGAACCATCAGTGGTCTCTCCGGGGCTTCTGCGTACATAAGCTCTAAGAGTCTAAGGTTTTTAAGACCTTGAAGATTCTATGATTCCAAAGGTCCCCCCCCCCAACCCCCGCCCTGCCCGCCTGCCCGCACAGTAATGTGAGGTCAGGGTTGTTGTCTGTTGCTGTGCGCTGTGTGTCTGCTGCTGGGTCCCCAGTGCCTAGAACAGTGCCAGGGGTATTGTAGGAGTTCCACAGAGAGGGAAAAACTGAAGGAAGGAAGACTCAATCTAAGGTCCAGAAGGTGATTCCAAGGTTTTAAAGATTAAGAAGTTGCTCTTAGGGGCGCCTGGGTGGCTCAGTGGGTTAAAGCCTCTGCTTTCAGCTCAGGTCATGATCCCAGAGTCCTGGGATCGGGTCCCACATCGGGCTCTCTGCTCTGCGGGGAGCCTGCTTCCTCCTCTCTCTGCCTGCTTCTCTGCCTACTTGTGATCTCTGTCTGTCAGATAAATAAATAAAATCTTAAAAAAAAAAAAAAAGTTGCTCTTAAAGTGCAACTCAGATTCTTAAATGCCAACTGAGCTGGGTCACAGGAGGGCAAGCAGGCCTGGGATGGGTGAAGAGGGGGAGGAGGGCATTCCTGGTAGGAGAGAGAGGGGAGAGAGGAGGCAGGAAGGCCCGGGGCCTTGAGCCACAGTAAAATTTGGCTTCAGGAGCCTGAGGCCTTATAGACTGCGAGAACCCTGACCTTGGGCATCAGTTTTCCATCAAGTGCACTTTCAGTGCCCACCTGTGTGCCGGGAACACAGAGATGACTGAAGAAGCCCTGGCTTTACCCTCCCAGGCCTGCCCAGCAGAATGTGCAGGGCTGGGATGGGGAGCCCAGAGCCTTCAAGAGCCCACAGACGACTTCTCGCCCAGCTTGGGGTTCAGGGAGGGCTTCCTGCAGGAGGAGGCATCAGAGCTGAGGCCTAAAAGCGGAAGCAGGGGTTCTGCAGGGGAAAAGAGGAATGGGGAGAAGGGGTGTTCGAGAAGAGCATCTTCTAAGCAGAAAGAACAGAATATACAAAGGCGTAGAAGTAACATCTGTGGGAGGAGAAGTCCAGGGTGGCTTAGGCAGAGTTTGGCACATGGCAGGCGGTGGAACTGGACTGATGCACCAGCAAGAGACCCAGGGTCCCCCCAGGCCTGGTGGGAGGTTGTAAGAAACTGAAACTTTTTCCTCAGGGTACTGGGTAGCCATGGCAAGTTCTGAGCAAGGAAGGAGAGGTCAGGTTGGTGCTTTATGAAGATCCCTCTGGCTGCCATGAGCAGTGGACTTGTCAGGAGACCAGGGGAGGCTGAGCAAGGATCTGGGTGGACCAGGACTGAAGGCGAGATTGGCTGGGTCCCCGATGTCCCCCTTTATGGGAGGAGTAGAAACCTATGGAAATCCTTAATGGGGAAACTTTTGAGTATTTGCTCAGAACCCAGCACCTCCTGTGCTGGAGACCAGCCAGAGCTTGGCGTTGCGTTGGGGACTGGGAGACAGCGCCCTCTGGAGGTTGCTTAGGAGGGCAGCAGGTGAATTCAGGGCGGGGGTGTGTCCTCGGGTCCACAGCAGCTTATCAGAAGACGCTTCCCCCCTCCCCTTAAAAAAAAAATCATTATTTTATTTTTATCTTTTAATTTCTTATTTGATAGGATGTGGCATTCAAAGTATTTCTCTTTTTTAATTTCAGGTTTTTAGTTAAATTCTAGTTAGTTAACACATATGGTAAAATTGCCTTGTTTTTTTGTTTTTTTAATTAGTGGTCAAGATTAAAAATTGGGATAGTTGTGATTTAAGAAAACACTTCTAGCTTCTCTTGCAAAACCAAAACGACCTGGCTGACCATTGGGAAGGAGACGGCCAGATGGCCCAGGATTTGAGGACGTGAAAAGGGGACAGTGGGGGAGGGGCTTGGTGGGCCAATGCTGAGGCCAGCAGCTTCACTCCTCCCCTCCCCCCCCACCCCGAGCCAGAGTGTGAGAGGCACAGGAGAGACAGATGGGGGAGGTGGGGGGGCTTCCTGGAGGAGGGAATGGTGGAGCCGAATGTGTAAGCCGGGCCTGGAAATGGAGTGGGACATTTGTAACTGAATCCAAACCTGGATAAGAAGTTGCCAAATTAAAGGATAAAGAATAGGTGCGATTGAACAAGGAAGGAGGGAGGGCGAATCGTTTGATAAAAACCTTGCTAAGCACCAGGCTCTGTGCTGGGTGGAACTAGGGACCCAGCAGTGATTGAAACAACCTCAGAACCTGCCCAGTGGGAGGATACAAACCTGTCCCCACTCAGAAATAGCATAGAGTGGTGGGCTGGGGTGGGAGAAGCCAAGGAGCTGAGGGAGCCCAGAGGGGATGGATGGAAGGTCAGAGAGCGCTCCTGGAGGAGGGGAAGTCAGAGCTGAAACCAAATAGAGAAAGGGCTGGGATAGAAGGGCAGCGCTAGCGATGGGGGGTTGGGGGATAAGAGACTTCTGGCAACCACCTCCAGCCTCCCCTTTCGTTCCCCCCTCCCCAGGATGCCCCGGAAGCCCAGCTAGGGCCCGACTTTGGCCCCATGCGTCTCACCTGCTGCCAGGCTGCCCTGGCAGCCGCCATCACCCTCAACCTCCTGGTCCTCTTCTATGTGTCATGGCTGCAGCACCAGCCCAGGAACTCCCGGGCCCGGAGTCCCCGCCGTGGAGCGGCTGCCGGCCCCCGTGTCACCGTCCTGGTGCGGGAGTTCGAGGCCTTTGACAACGCGGTGCCTGAGCTGGTGGACTCCTTCTTGCAACAAGACGCCACCCAGCCTGTGGTGGTGGCCGCGGACACGCTCCCCTACCCGCCCCTGGCCCTGCCCCGCGTTCCCAACGTTCGCCTGGCGCTGCTCCAGCCCGCCCTGGACCGGCCCGCCGCGGCCTCGCGCCCCGAGACCTACGTGACCACCGAGTTCGTGGCCCTGGTGCCTGACGGGGCGAGGGCCGAGGCCCCGGGCCAACTGGAGCGCATGGTGGAGGTGCTCCGGGCAGGAGGGGCACGCCTGGTGGCCGCCCCTGTCGCCTCGGCCAACCCTGCCCGGTGCCTGGCCCTGAACGTCAGCCTGCGGGAGTGGACGGCCCGCTACAGCCCCGCGCCCTCCGCGCCCCGCTGTGACGCCCTGGACGGAGACGCGGTGGTGCTCCTGCGCTCCCGCGACCTCTTCAACCTGTCGGCGCCCCTGGCCCGGCCGCTGAGCACCGGCCTCTTCCTGCAGACGGCCTTGCGGGGCTGGGCGGTGCAGCTGCTGGACCTGCCGTTCGGCGCGGCGCGCCAGCCACCCCTGGCCACGGCCCACGCGCGCTGGAAGGCAGAGCGCGAGGGGCGCGCGCGGCGGGCAGCACTGCTGCGCTCGCTGGGCATCCGCCTGGTAAGCGGGGAGGGCGGGCGCCTCGAGTGGTTCGGTTGCAGCAAGGAGACCCCGCGCTGCTTCGGGACGGTGGTGGGCGACACACCGGCCTACCTCTACGAGGAGCGCTGGACGCCCCCGTGCTGCCTGCGCGCTCTGCGGGAGACCGCCCGCTATGTGGTGGGCGTGCTGGAGGCGGCGGGTGTGCGCTACTGGCTGGAGGGCGGCTCGCTGCTCGGGGCCGCCCGTCACGGGGACATCATCCCGTGGGACTACGATGTGGACCTGGGCATCTACCTGGAGGACGTGGGCAACTGCGAGCAGCTGCGGGGGGCCGAGGCGGGCTCGGTGGTGGACGAGCGCGGCTTCGTGTGGGAGAAGGCCGTAGAGGGCGACTTCTTCCGCGTGCAGTACAGCGAAAGCAACCATCTGCACGTGGACCTGTGGCCCTTCTATCCCCGCAATGGAGTCATGACCAAGGACACATGGCTGGATCACCGGCAAGATGTCGAGTTCCCCGAACACTTCCTGCAGCCTCTCGTGCCCCTGTCCTTTGCTGGCTTCGTGGCGCAGGCACCTAACAACTACCGTCGCTTCCTGGAGCTCAAGTTCGGCCCCGGGGTCATCGAGAACCCAGAGTACCCCAACCCGTCCCTCCTGAGTTTGGCAGGAAGTGGCTGAAGCTCCTGCGCCCGCCCAGGGGGGTCTGGAGAACACTCAGGCCAGGGAGTGGGGGGTATGGGGAGACCTGGCCTTGGCTATGGTGCTGGGGGCATGTGGTGGGCGGGCCGGGGTTGCGGAGCTGCCGGGCAAGGCCCAGCACCGTCCTGCACTTGGAAGACGTGCCCCGACCAAGATTTCCGAGAGCTTGGGTTTATTTGGAGCAAAGACAGTTTTGTAAAGAGGAAAATGTGTACGTTTTGCGCCCGGACTGCCGCGATTAGAACCCCAGCTCTGCCACTTCCTAATTAGGCGGGCCGGGTGAGTGTCTTCGCAGCATCGCGCTCCCAAAGAGCCCGCAGGACGCTTGGCTGCTGGGGCTGCTTCCGCCACTAGAGGGCGCCTCTGTCCTAGTCTGGGGTCCAAGGCCCAGGTAAGCCCTGGACCTCCCGGTTCCCGGAGCTTCCCTAACTTGAACCTTTTGGTCTCTCCAATCCCCTGTACCTGGCGGGACAGGATGACTGTCTCCCTTCTTCCAGAATGTGACCTCCTGGCCTCCTGCGAACGCCCTGTGAATTGCATGCTGCTCTTAACCACATCTTGCAGAGGAGGAAACGGGCTCAGCCTTGAGCTGCCGCAGTGAGTAACCGAGCTCTGGATGCCAGACCCCCTCCGGATTAACTGCGTTACGTCGTGGTTTCAGCGCTCCGCACCTGGTAGACCACTTGCGCGGCAGGATGAACAGCAGTCAGAGCTCACGTTACTCAGCTCATATGGTGTGCCCGGCGTCCTTCTCAGTGCTGGACGACGAGTGACTGCTCCATCTCTCACCTCAACCCTCTGAGCCAGAGCTGCTATTATTTCCATTTTACAGGTGAGCACACTGAGGCCAGAATGGCAGAGTCACTTGCCCAAGGTCAGACAGCTTAGAAAGCAACAGAGCAGGGACTTGAACCCCGGCAGCCAGGCTGGAGCGCACACTGAATTTGGCTGCTGTGCCCCCTTTCTAGTTACGCTACATGAGAGGGGGGTCCCTGGGAGTCCACACCCTTAGCTGGTGAAGCCATGGCGGCCTTCCTCCTGTGCTCGTGCACCCAAGATTAAATGCCATTTGAGCAAGTATCCCGAATATACTTATTTATAAATTATATACAGGTACTTCTGTTGTTCTGTGTATTAGTAATAAGGCTTAAATTATTCCATTTTAAAATAAACAGAGAAGGTTTTGTTTACATGGCTCATCTTAGTGACTTGTCCCATTTGGAACCACAGGCTCTGAGGCAGGAGAGGCCTGGGGTCAAAACCCAGCTCTGCCTCTTTCTCCCACTGGGATCTTAGGCCACCATGACTCTGCCTCTCTGAACCTCTGCTTTGCGCCTGGGAATTGCGGGTCGTGAACATTCCCCCCACGGGGGTGCTGTGAGCCACTTGAGTGGTAAAGGCTCAGGAATCAAGGCTGTGTTTGGCTCCTGGCCAACTTTATTTGTGATCTTAGGCAAGTCCCTGTCTCCCTGGACCTATAGGTTGGTTGTGGGGGATGGGGGAGATTGAAGAAGCCGGAAGCCAGGGGGAGGGGGAGGGGGAGGGGGAGGAAGAAGATGATCAATGCAAATCTAATCCCATCTCAAACGTGGCTCAGACATGCAGAGTCCGACTTCTTAGATCACAGCCTCTATTTTTAGCCACTGAACCTGCAAAGGGCTCCCAGAGACTGTTGGGTTTCCACAGAGCATTCTGGAAACATAAGGGGATGATTTTGACTCTCGGGAAGCGTAGCCCAGGGATGGAGAGGTCATAATAGGCAGGACCTCTCCACAGGGTAAAGCACTGGCCCTTGTCATATACAGTTTTGAAAGCCCCGTTGGACATTCCTGAAGGGAGTGCGATTTTCAAAATCTTAGCAACTGGTACGGTGATACAAATTAATATATATGTCAGTATATGCATCACAATGTGTAAATATTTCTTTTTTCTCTGAAGGATGGAAATGATCTGTATATACATATTTCTTTCAATTGTTTGCCAGGAACATGAGCTGAAACTCAGATTATTGTTAAATCATGCAATTATTTTGTTTTATTTAGAAACTTACTTAGAAATTGTTGGTGCGGTTTCTTGATTGATATGCTATATATATATATATATATATATATATATATTCATTTATTTAATTATTTATTATATAAAAATATATATAAAATAACCCTGGCTTAGCTGTGATTTGATAAGAGAACCACATCAAGTGCTTCTGGCAACTTCCCATTAAACTGTGCCATTAGGTGACTTAGGGTCTCAACAGATCAAGAATTTCTCTTGGGGCTCCTGGGTGGCTCAGTGGGTTAAAGCCTCTGCCTTCGGCTCAAGTCGTGATCCCAGGGTCCTGGGATCGAGCCCCACATTGGGCTCTCTGCTCAGCAGGGCGCCTGCTTCCCCCTCTCTCTCTGCCTACCTCTCTGCCTACTTGTGATCTCTGTCAAATAAATAAATAAAAATCTTTTTTTAAAAAAAGGGTGGGGCACCTGGGTGGCTCAGTGGGTTAAAGCCTCTGCCTTCGGCTCAGGTCATGATCCCAGGGTCCTGGGATCGAGCCCTGCATCGGGCTCCCTGCTCGGCAGGGAGCCTGCTTCCCTTCCTCTCTCTCTGCCTGCCTCTCTGACTACTTGTGATCTCTGTCTGTCAAATAAATAAATAAAATCTTTAAAATAAAAAAAAAAAACAGTTCTTTAAAAAAAAAATTTTCTCTTAGCACCATCTGTAGTGTTTTGGTGTTTTCTCCTCTATTCCTTGTTCCTGAATGAACAACAATTTACATTAAAAACTTTTGTAACCTTGGGGCACCTGGATGGCTCAGTTGGTTAAGCATCTGCCTTCGGCTCAGGTCACGATCCTGGAGTCCGGGGATTGAGGCTGGCATCGGGCTCCCTGCTTGGTGGAGCGTCTGCTTCTCCCTCTGACCTTAGCCCCTCTCATGCACTCTCGCTCTCTTGCAAATAAATAAATAAAATCTTCCCAAAAAACCCTAGTTTTGTAGCCTTTATAATACTGCCTGACAGCTTTGTGTATTCAGTATTTTTATTCTCAACTAGGTAAATAATATGAGGGGAAACCTACTGCAGCAATTAACTTGATTTAATGAGTTTATACTAGATACATACCACTGGATTTCAGTGCTCTCTCATTGACTCTTGTATGATTAGCCAGCCGGAACGGAAGCTTTTCGGTATTGTAAAAAACAGCACATTCAGACTAGTGCACATTAACCGAATTTTAGCCTCACTTGGAAAAACCTGCTTAAGAATTATCCAAGCTCCAGGGGCGCCCGGCTGGCTCGGTCGGAAAGAGCATGCGACTCTTGATCTCAGGGTCGGGAGTTCAAGCCCAGCTTTGGAGGTGGAGGTTACTAAAAACTAAATAAATAAATAAATTTTAAAAAAATGAATAACATCAAATCACGTGCAGGTAGGTCATAGTATCCATGATCTTCACGTCAGTAGAGCCAAGAGGATTTTCCCAGAGCTGACGCTCAAGCCAGCACAGGCGCTGGTATGGCCATGATGGTGGTTAAAACATGACGATACTACATTGTAGATTACTGATCTGTTGGTAAACGGTCATCACCATGAATGCCTCTCCGTGGGGACTACCTGAACTTCTCCCCCTGCCCCAACTCCCCATCAGGGAAGACGGAAGGTTCATGTCCCTACAGCTGTTGGAGGAGCTGCTCCCTTTAACCAAGCAGTCAATATTTGTGTGTCCTCCCTGGGCATTACAAAAGATTTGCTATGGGAGGTTGATGGCAGACAACCCACCTGTGTACAGCCCCAAACCAGAACCCCCCTGGTATCCATTCCACGTGAATGGAGCCACAAACTGCTGCGCCCAGAGTGGCGTACTCGTCCATGATTAAAAACAAAAAGCAATAAACTAATAAGTGCACAAACGTAGCAAAATCTCAAAGGCATTATGCTAAGTAAGAGAATCAGGACGCAAAAAGCGACCTGCTATAGGATTCCACTAATGGGAAATTCTAGGCGAGACAAACTAATCCTTGGCCGATCCCAAAGCTGATCAGTGGTTGCCTGGGCCTGGGGACTGAGGGAGGGACAAAATGCAAAGGAGCACCAGGCTATCTGGGGTGGTGGCAGTATCGTGTATCTTGATCGGGGTGGTTTTCACTAACTATGCATCTGTCAGTTTTATCCAAATACCTACTTTAATGGATGTGGTTTATTATATGCCAAGTATATCTTAATAAGGTTGAGCCCCCACCCAAAAGGCAGATTGGGAGAGGGAGTCCAACAGGCCAAGAAACACTGTTGCCAGGGAAAGACAAAGCTGTCATTACTCCGAACTTGGAGCCCCCCTTCCTGTTACTGTGAGTCTAGAACGAAAAGTCCAGGCCCAATGCAGGGCTAGCGTGAGGACTCCCTCCCAAGCCAGGCTCCTTCGAAGGAGCAAAAGGGGTGTTCCCAAGACAGGGGTGGGTGGAGCCATGGAGAAAGGGAGAGGTAGGTGGGAGCAGGGCCCCAGGGGATGGCCGTCCAGGTGCTTTTCCTTCTGTTCCTATGTAACCTTCACCAGTAATCTTGGAGTGAGGCATAACAGAGCCACTGTCACCAGAGGGTGAGACTCCGTCCTGCTTACACAAGGCAACAGAGCTGGCGGGCAGCAGAAACAGGATCTCGACCAGGTGACAGCCTTTTCTAGCCAGGCGGCTCTGTAGCTGGAGCCCGATCCATCCATTCTGCAAATATTTATTTTTTAAAGATCTTGTTTATTTGAGAGAGAGAGAGAATGAGCAGGGAAAGGAGCAGAGGCAGAGGGAGAAGCAGACTCCCAGCCATGCAGGAAGCCGGACACAGGACTCGATCCCAGGATTCCGGGACCATGAACAGAGCCAGACAGACACTGAGCCACCCAGGCGCCCTCTGCAAATATTTATTGAGTGTCTGCTATGTGCCAGGCACCATGCTGCGCTCTGGGCAGACCGTGGTGGACAGGACAGAGGTGGCTGCCTCGTGGAGTGCCCCTCCTAGTGGGGTCCAGTTGTGGGAGCCCCTGTCCACACTCAGGAGGCTTGAAATGGTTCCAGACTTTTTAAAAATGACCCAGATCAGCATCTTAGGCGAATTTGTGGCATGTGCTGAGAGAATCTTGAAAATGGAATAGAAAGGGGCGCCTGGGTGGCTCAGTGGGTTAAAGCCTCTGCTTTCGGCTCGGGTCATGATCCTGGGGTCCTGGGATCGAGCCCCGCATCGGGCTCTCTGCTCGGCAGGGAGCCTGCTTCCTCCTCTCTCTCTCTGCCTGCCTCTGCCTACTTGTGATCTCTGTCTGTCAAATGAAATGAATAAAATCTTAAGAAAAAAAAATGGAATAGAAAAATGGGGAAATTGGAACTTAGGCTGGTTATGGATTCCTCTTATGTATATATATCGTAAATAGATATGAGCTATATTACACACACATGCGTGAATCTCTTCAAACAGGCATCCTTCATAATCTAAATCTGATCCATTCCCCCAAAAGCATTAAAGTGAAAATTTGAAGATAAACAACTATTTTAAGTGGGGACAATAATGCACTCCCAGCTCCTTCCAACAACCCCAACCAATTTCCCTGAATACCATTAAAACTCTTAAAACACTCTTATAACCACCCAAGGATTTTGGCATAATGGAAAGCATTGAAAACACTAATTACTTCATTATTCAACACTTAATGAACTCATTAGTGGTTATGTTTGTATGCAATGCCCAACGATTTTGCACCAAATCAAATATGAATTATATTTTTCTTTCACCCTGCAATGACCATGAGATGTAACTAAATAAACAACAACCAAAAAAATGCTAAAGATACTCAAGATACCATCTGTAATTGGACTCAGATTGGTGGTGCCTCCAGGCACCTGGGCAGGAGCCTAGAAGGGCCCTGGGAAGGGGAAGATAATGATCAGTAACATGTAACATGTCTCAGCAAGGTACAAGGCGGGTCAGAGGTACAAGGATCAGTAGAGCCTGTGAGGCTCCAATGGTACCATCCACAACCTGGACTCAAATAGGACTTCAAAAGAGTTGCGCGGCGACAATTTTATTTGAACGGCAAATTCAGGGTTTAAAAGGAGGGGATATGTCCCTACTGGCACTGTTTGGATAGTGAGAGTTCAAGTATCAAGGAACACCTGCATTCCTATGTTGGTTACCCTGGAAAATCAATTTCTTCCCAGGAGTCGCCCGAAGTTTCTCAGCTGGAAGATGGTCTACACAGGCTAAAATGCACACATCTTAAGTGCACAGGGGAATTTTTCCAATGTATAGGTCTGTGTAAGCAACGCCTGTCTCAAGATATGGGACATTTACCGGATCGTGAAGTTTCCCTGGGTCCCTTCCCAGTCACGAAGTCACCCTCATAGATCATCACTGTTTGGATTTCTCTCACTATAGACCAGTTTCGCCTGTTCCAGACCCTCACAGAAATGGAACCAGGTTGCATGAACGGTTTCCAGCTCCTTTCACTCCAAATGTTATCCATGGAATGCATCCAAGAACAGCTGTCCATCACAGAACAATTGTACTGATCTATCAACTGGTACATTTCAAAATTTTGGCAGTTACAAGGAGAGTGGCTGAAGACATTTGTGTCCTGGACTTTGAGGGGACAGTTTTTTTCTCTTTGGTTTAAGTGGAACTCCTGAGCTGTTGGTAAATGCACATATGTTGACTTGATAACAAACATCTGATGAGAAATGCTTGACAACTTTATTGCTCAAAAAGGCCCTTTGGAGTGACAGCAGTCATTGTCCTTGGTCTCCCCTCCCCGGCGGGGTCCCATGGAGTGTTTCTGTTACTGTGGAGGGAACAGAGGGCCTGGGGACAGGGTGGGATGTACCGCAGAGTCACAAAACACACACACACACACACACACACACACACACACACACACACACAGAGCTACCAAAATAGCCAGCAACCCACTGAACATTCATCCTCTCCAAGAGGGCAGAAGTCCACGTGACAACCGGTGCCTGGAGATGGGGAGCCCAGAAGAAGACATTTAGACTATTTCTCCATCTTGTTTCCCAGCCATGGGTGGGAACATGAATCGAGGACTGGGGAAGTTTGGGGAAGAAATACACACACATACACATATACGCCGGCACTGAGGCCTCCCAGATCTGATGCTGGATCAGGGGGCGGGGCGAGCGCCTGGGGCCCCCGGATCCCCGAACGTGCAGACAGAGCCTCCAAAGCCCTAGTTCATAATCCCAATGTCCAGAGCGGCGCCCATCAGGGCAGGGAACGCCCCTATGGGGCTTACATAACTGATTCCTTCTCACAGGGGTCCGCATCCCCAGCAGGTCCCAAACGGTGTTTGAGGAGAGGGTCCCCCTCCTCGGTGGAGGCGGGCAGCGGAGACAGGGGCATCTCGCTCTTCACTTGGATCAACTCTGGCACCGACCTCCGTAACTCCGAGCGATCCACGTAATTTTGGAGGAGTCCCGCCCCAAAGGCATCGCCTTCCACGTTGAGGACGGTACAGGACCGGTCTCTGAAGGGGGAGGAGTGACAGGGAAGTGAGTGGGAGGGCCGAGGGTAGGGCCCAACCACCCTGCTTTTCCCCGCAAAGCCTGGAGTCCCCATGGCGCCCTCCTTCATGGAACCCGGCTCTCCTCCTAGACCCAGGTCATCCCTCCATCTTCTCAGGACCCAAATTATCCCTTCATCCTAGAACCTCAAGACCTTTTCATCCAGAGTCCAAGCAGCCCCCTACCTCTCTTCTTTCTCATGGAATCCCAAGGTATCCCCACACTTTCTCTGCCTCAGAACTCCAAAGATCTTCTCCTCCATCCTCCCAGGAGCCCAGATGATTCTTCTTCCCCCCAAAATCACAAAATTTGCTCCTCCTGGAACTTCAAAAAGTCACCCCTTCCTTCTCTTGGGGCCTCAGAAGACCCATCCACCTCTCCTCTTCCCCCTGATAGACTACTTTCTCACTGAGGCCTTTCTACTTATAATCTTAGAGATCTCTTTTCACTTCCTCTTTATACTTTGTGTGTGTGTGTGTGTATGTGTACATCCCATTTTAGAAAATTGAGCTATAATTCATATACCATAAAACTCACCCTTTTAAAAAAAATAATTTGAGAGAGAGAGAAGCAGCGGTGGGGGAGGGGTAGAGGGAGAGGGAGAATCAGACCTCCCGCCAAGCAGGGACTTAATCCCAGGACCCCAAGATCATGACCAGAGCTGAAGGCAGGCACTTAACTGACTGAGCCACCCAGGCATCCCCAAACTCACCCTTCAAAAGTATACAATTCAGGGGAACCTGGATGGTTCAGTTGGTCGAGAGTCTGACTCCTGATTTCGGCTCGGGTCATGACCTTAGGGTTGAGATGGAGCCCTGCATCAGACTCCACACCTGGCATGGAGCCTACTTAGGATTCTCTCTCTCCCTCTGCCCCTCCCCTTTGCCCTCTCCCTCACCCATGCACATGCTCTCTCTCTTAAAAAAAAAAAAAGTACACAACCCAGTGGTTTTCAGTATATTTCAGTATATTCAGTATATTGTACAACCATCGCTGCTATTTAATTCCAGGACATTTTCATTGCTCTAAAAGGACACCCCCACACCCACCAAGCACTTATCCCCCAGCCCCCGGCAACTGCTAATCTATGGTCTATAGAAGTGCTTATTCTGGCCATTGCATTGAAATGGAATCACAGATGCCTGGGTGGCTCTGTTGGTTAAGCCGCTGCCTTCTGCTCAGGTCATGATCCCGGGGTCCTGGAATCGAGTCCCACATCGTGCTCCCTGCTCAGCAGGGAGCCTGCTTCTCTCTCTGCCTCTGCCTGCCACTCTGCCTGCCTGTGCTCTCACATGCTCTCTCTCCCTCTCTGACAAATAAATAAATAAAATCTTTAAATAAAATCTTTAAAAATAAAAATCTAAAAGAAATAAAATCTTTAAAATCTCTTTTTAAAAAATCATACACTATGTGGTCCTTTGTATTCTGCCTTCTTTCACTTAGCGTGAGATTTTCAAGGGTCCCACGTGCTACCATGTACAAATGTGCGGATGCTTCATTCAGTTTTACTGTTGAATGAAATTCCATTCTTACAGATATATGACATTTTAGGTAACCTGAAGCCCCAAACCCACACTTACACTAGCCAGTCCACAGCCAGGATCAAGGAGATGTCCTGGACGGGCAGGTTGACCGCCTCTAGGATGATGGCCAGAGTGAGGACACCCCCGGCAGGAATGCCCGCAGCACCCACGCTGGACGCCGTGGCGGTGACTCTGCGGGAAGAGAGCGGAGGTCAGGGACAGGGGCCTTGGGAAGCCTGAGGAGCTGGCTCCCTCCAGCCCATGTCGGTTCTCGGGGGAAGGGTCAGATGGGCCGGGGGTCCCGGCCGCAGCCACCCCACACTCACAGGATGGTGATGATCTTCACAAAGTCCAGGGATCGCTGGTTCAGCTGTGCAATGAACACCGCGGCCACACACTGGAAGAGCGCCGCACCATCCATGTTGACCGTGGCACCGATGGGGAGGATGAAGCGACTGATGTGCTTGGCGACGCCGTTCCTCTCCTCCACGCACTTCATCATCAGCGGCAGAGTGGCGGAGCTGAAGGGAGGAGCTGTGGTCAGCGCGTGCCCCGCCCCCTGCCGAAGCCCCACCCAGTCTACCGCCCCACGGGCCAATCAGCGCACTGTAGGCTCCGCCCACCAGCCTAGACCCCCTCCCCCGCCACCCACCCCTACCCTGTCCTCCCCAGCCCTCCCTGCTCTACTCTTCCAGAGCCAGAGGAGCCTGGAATCCTGCAAAGTGCCAGGATTCCAAAGCATAGGAGTCCTGGACCCCCTGGGAGAGTACAGATTGCTATCCTTCAAAATACACACAAAAATTCAAACCTAAAGTCTGTAATGCCTCGGAGCTCACTCACCCCCACTCTCTCCCTGCTCCACCAATAGATCCTGTCTAAGAATTGCTATTCTGTCAGGTACGCTGCTGGGGGGAAGGCCGGGTTCTGAGGGCAGAGGTGGACAAAACACCTAGAAGGGAGTGGAAAGGGCTCCTAAGGGATTAGATCCAGGGTGGAGCGCTAGACCATCGCCCCCCAGGGCCAGGTCTTGTGGAGGAGGAGTGGTTCTCAGGAAGAAAAAAAGGAGAAATCTCTAAGACAGGGGTTTACTAACAGGGAAGGTGGGGCGTATTCCAGAACCTTACAAGAAACTCACAAAGTATGTCCCCTACACCCAGATCCAGTGTCTCCAAATACAAAATTTCAAGGATGGGGCGCCTGGGTGGCTCAGTGGGTTGAGCCTCTGCCTTCCGCTCAGGTCATGATCTCAGGATCCTGGGATCGAGCCCCACATCGGGCTCTCTGCTCAGCAGGGAGCCTGCTGCCTGCCTCCTCTCTGCCTACTTGTGATTTCTCTCTCTGTCAAATAAATAAATAAAATCTTAAAAAAAAAAAAAAAACCACAAAATTTCAAGGGTCTCCAGACAGCTGATGCCTACCGCAGGCCCCTTAAACTTAGAAATCCTGCATGAGTCTCCCCTGAGGCCATACCTAGAAGAGGTCCCAAAGGCAGTGGCCAGCGCCGTCACGATGCCCCACAGGAAGCGGTAGGGGTTTTGGCGGGTGAAGAAGAAGTAGATGAGGGGCAGCACCAGGAGCCCGTGGATGGCGTGGCCCAGCAGACAGCACAGGATGTATTTGCCGAGACTGGCGAACAGCATCCCCACGTCCTCCATCTCCACGATCTTGCCAGCCACCAGGAACAAGATGCCCACAGGGGCATACCTAAGCACCCAGGAGACAGATTGCGGCCTCTGACCGTGTGTCCACAGAAGCACCAGGCTTTGGGCTCAGTACACAGCCTGACCACAGCCTCCCTTGTGGGCAGGAAACACCTACAGCAGCGTGTGCCGAAGTTTGGGCACCTTGCCTGCCATCCTCCAAGCTCTTTCCCCTTGCAGATAGGACAGCAGGGAGATAAAGAAGCCTGGGGGTTTCTAAAGCCACTTGGAGTTGAATCACTAACCAGATTCGGACTTAACCCGTGGCCCCCCCAAGTGAGTCATTTACATGTTCTGCGTTTGTAGGTTACAGTACCTACGGTGATTTAAACTGATACAATCTCTCACATCATGAAAATTAAAAAGTCTGTAGCTCATGTCTTAGTAACAACACCCAGACACGAAGCATTTATCTTGGGTTGAGCCCTGGAACACGATGGAATCTTTACCACAATGCCGCACAAGCTCCTATTTTAGTCCTCCGTGGCCACCGTTGAATTAAAATCTAACAGGTTGGTAGGGGCACCCAGGCGGGTCAGTCGGTTAAGCGTCTGCCTTTGGCTCAAGTCATGATCCTGGGGTCCTGGGATCGAGCCCCGAGTCAGGCTCCCTGCTCAGTGGGAAGCCAGCTTCTCCCTCTCCCACTCCCTCTGCTTGTGTTCCCTCTCTGTCTGTCAAATAAATAAAATCTTAAAAAAAGAATCTAATAGGTTTGTAAAACAGGTACATTAAGGCTACTGGCCTCATAGGTATGTTGGGGGAAATGGGGTGCCACGGGAAGTGCCTTGAAAGCTCTTTGTATACAGTAAGAGATCTATAAACTTCTACTGGAGCTATTATCACCCTCTCCTGGAGTGACGGTCCCAGAGGTGCTCGTGCCTCTCAGCCAGGAGGCCTCCCCCAAGACTGCCTTCCCAGTTTGATCCCTGTGGCTAGTTGTTGCCCAAAGCCTTTCCCCTCTCTGGTTAACAGAAGAAAGGCCCCATTGCCCAGTGGGGCCACGGGTTAAGTCCAAATCTGGTGCAGCGAGGTTTGGCCAAATGCCCAAGCTCCGGCCAGTGGGAGGTGCCCAGAAGTTAAACAAGGACATACTTGATAAATATTAGCTGATACTCTTTATTGTGCCCATGCTATAGGTCAGGCTTTGTCCCAAGAAGTTTACACTCATTTGTGTCTGATACTGTCGGTCCCATTTTCCAGATGGGGATACTGAGGCAGAATGCGGTAAGTCACTTGTGATAGGGCACACAGGTGGGAGGTCATAATGATAATGATCATAGCTAAGAGTAGCTCAGGGGGTACTGGGCATTTAAACACTTCATAAGTGCTTGACCTAGACCTCCACCTAGACCTCCTATTACTCATTCCCTCTTCATGGTAACGCGGACATTGGATCCCGTTCAAATCTCTGCAGCGGAGATGCATTCACTAAGCTGTGGCCACAGCCCGGCTGACGTCAGTCTCAGATCCCAGGGAGTACAGGACTCTCCTCAACTTAGAATGAAGACACCGAGCCACAGACAGGGTAGGTCACTCGCCCAAAGTCACAGCCAGGGGATGGGCAACACTGGGTGTGAATCCAGGCCATCTGGCTCCACGGAGCAGAGAGATGGGAGGGCTGCCCCGTCCCACGTCCCCCGCCCCCCTGCCACCACCTACCACATGATCCAGGAGACCAGCACCATGGTGGCGTCATTAAAGGAGTTGAAGAAGCGGATGAGGAGCTCCCCCTCGGGTCCCAGCTTCCGCAGGGCCACACCAAAGACAATGGCAAAGACCACCAGGCCCAGGATGTTCATACTCTCCACCTCGGTACCAATGGGCACCTTGGGGTAAGGAACAAATTGGGATGGGAGGATGTTCAGTTAACTTGCACAGCCACTAAGGGCCCTGCTGGGACCCAACGTGGACGAAACAGCTCTTGGAGCTCATTTGTCCCTTCCTCCCAAGGCTCACAGTCCAGGTCCAGGAGACCTCCCAGGTCACCGGGGACCACCCAGAGTGACTGGAAGAGGGGAAACCCAGGAGAGTGTTGGAACTGAGCGGGGATGCCGGCTTGGTGGGTGGCGTGGTGGGGGAATCAGGGAGGGCTTCGTGGAGGAAGGGGCTGAGATCTGGAGAAAAGGAGGATTAACCAGGTAAAGAGAGGTGCTAGAAGATTCTGGAGAGGGGAAACGATGTGCAATAGTCTGGAAATGAGAACCCCTTGGGCATTCAAAGAACAGAAGGAAAGCCACTGGGGCTGGAATAGGCCAGCCAGAGTCAAAACATGAGGCTGGGTGGGTGGCTGGGCAGAAGCCTGAGCTCGCAGCGTCTCATGGACTGTGGCGAGGAGCCTGGGCTTTCTTCTGAGGGCACTAGGGAGCAGAAAGGGGCTCTGGGTAGGAGGGAAACAGGTCAGGTTTGTGCTTTGGGGAAAGACTACTTTGCACCTGGCTGAGGGGAGGGGGGAGGGGGGAACCGGGGGGCAGCCCAGAGAGGGGGCCGGGGGGGGTGGGGGGCAGAGAGAAGCCTGCATCAGGGAGGGAGAAGAAAGGAGCAAAAATGGAGAGACCAGAAAAAAATAAAAATTGGGCAGCAGCGGCAGAGTATAAAGCAAATACCACCGAAGGTTGGAAGATGCCAGTGGTGGGCAAGCAAATGCTGGGTTGGAACAAAAGAGAAAAACCCCACCAATGGGCGGAGGGATGGGTCCCCTTCTCTCACCTTCACCTTGGTCCCATTGATGCTTCGTGTGTCATAGGAGGTACTGTACTGCAGGTAGGGATGGGCAAGGTCAGTATCAATGCCAAGGAGGCCCCACCCCACCCCATCCTGGCACTATCAGTGCTCCAAGCTGGCCCTAAGCACCCCCTCAATGCAACCCCACCGAGGTGGCATTTTCCTGCCATGTGCCCATTTTCCAGAGGTGGAAACCGAGGCAAGGAGAGGAAAAGGCACTTGCCCAGGGTCACACACCTAGAATTAGAACCCCGAAAGGGCTCAGAACCCATATTCTCCTTCCTCGATGAGGGGCATGGATGGGTTTCACAGGCCCCCCACGAACTCTCCAAGAGCATTCAACAATTTGTGAATGCGCGTGCTTTTTCAAAAACCACCTGAAAGCAAGCACCCAGGGGCTACAGCTGGCTGTATCCCTCCCCACCTGCCCCCCACCCCTCGGGACATAGCCCCAAGGACTCACTGAGCGGAAGGCTGCAGACACCAGGTTGGAGGGGAAGATATTTCTGCAGAAATAGACACGGAGGGCGGTAGGTTATTAAATACCCCAGGAGGAACTTGGGCGGGGGGGGGGCGGTCTGGGGGGCTGCCTTGGCCTCTTGGGATGCAAAGAACCTTGGAGGCCCCATTGGTACCCAGCTATGGTCCCCACCCATGCCTCAGGCCGGGTGTGGTCAAGCAGAGCTGGGCCCTGGCCCGCTCGCTTGTCCAGGGGGTGGGAAGTCTTGAGTTGGCCTCCAAGGGCCTCCGAAGCCTGGCCTGCTAGCCTCGACCAGCCCCAAGGGATTGTGGACTGGAAGTGAGGAACGCTGGCTTCCCAGAGCAGGCTGGAGCAGGGTCACCCTGGGCCTCAGCTCCACCCCAAGCAGCAAACTTAATACCCAGGGCGTCTTGCATCAGCCACTTCCTCCCTCAAGGCTCAGGCCTTGGTGCCCGGGCTGAGTGGGGTGACAGGGTATGGGGAAGATCTGGGTGTGTGGGAAGGAGGTTAGTGAGAGAGAGTGACAAGGGATGGCTGTGTGTGTCGTGAATGTCTGTCTGGGCAGCAGCGTGCACTAAACCCCAGCGAGCGTGTCAGGGAGTGAGACAACGGCCTCTTGTGTCTCAGAGTGGGACAAAAATTCCAGCAAATGTGTCTACTGTAGTCCCTGCAGTGCTTTATATAAATCCACTCGCTCACTTATTTATTTTATTTTTTAAACTAGGCTCTTCGCGGGCCACCTGGGTGGCTCAGTCGGTTAAGTACATCCGCCTTCAGCTCAGCTCCGGTCATAATTCTGGAATGGTCATGATCCTAGAGTTCCAGGATCGAGTCCTGCATGGGGCTCCCTGCTCAGCAGGGAGTCTGCTTCTCCCTCTGCCCCTCACCCCACTTGTGCGTGCTCTCTCTCTCACTATGTCTCCCTCTCAAATAAATAAATAATTAAAATCTTTTTAAAAAAATAAATAAGTAGGCTCCCCACCCACCATGGAACCCAACTCGGGGCTTGAACTCACAACCCTGAGATCAACACCTGAGCTGAGATCAAGAGTCAGACACTTCACCAACTGAGCCGCCCAGGCGCCCCTAAATCCACTCCTTGGATCCTCACAACAGCCTTCTGACCCCCATTTTATAGAGGAGGGAACCAAGGCACAGAAAGGGAAAGGAACCTGCCTTGGCTAGGAAGCGGCCAAGCTGAGATTTGAATCCAGGCAGCCGGCTGCGTAGTTCTACCCACACCCCCCCCCCATTCTGGCGTCCTCCCTCACCAATGATGTTTCTCAAGTGTTGGGATTGGGTTGGGGGTGCAGGTTAGTGCTCAGATCTGTGGGACGGTGTTAGTGCATACGGTCTCTTGAGCATGGATGTCTGGGCAACGCTCAATGTATTGGAGAGGTCAGTGGCATCCGTGAGCGGCTGTGTCGAGGGAGGCTAGTTCCTCTGTGTGCGTGAGGACACGTGTGACAACTGGTATAAGGCCATGTGTCAGTGTGAGAGGCCGCAGCTGTGGCCGAGCGTCTGTGTCCAGCTGTGTGCCAATTGGCTATAAAGTCGTGTGGCTCTGAGATGTTCTAGCAAAGTCCCCGGAGCTGGCCGACTGCCAGTTCCTTCTATTTTGACACACAGGGGCAGCAGCGTGGACAAATCAACGGCCTCCGAGTGGGCGTGCCCATTGGCCAGAAGGCCTGTACCCACCCAGGCCAGGCAGGGCTGGGTCAGGACCCCGCTAATCTCCCCCAGCCAGGAGGCACCCGCCCACTACAACTTCTAGACATCAAGCCTGCCCCCACATCTCTCACCCCAGCCGACACGGATCTCCCAAGCGGTTGGGAGAACCCAGTTCCGTGACTCATCATTTCCTCTTGTCACTTCCAGGAAGTCCCCCAACCAGCCTGGAGACCCTGAATCAGCAGGTCCCAAAGGGCAACCCAGGGGTCTGTCCGCCTCAAAATGGGGAGAGCCATTCTTGGGTGCGGAGCAGAGATCAGAAGGCAAAGAGTCGGCTGGCTTTCTAACTGGCCCCTTTTTGAGCAACCCCCTGGAGGTTTGGGGGCGGGACAGGTGGAGAGAGAGCCCAGACGGGCTCCCCAGACAGGAGGAAATGGAATGGAAAGTCCTCGGAGGTGGCAGGGTTTAGCAGAAACATATAAAAGAGAAGCTGCCAGGGCCCAGTTGAACTGGGTGGGGAAGGGAGGCTGAGAAAAGAGCCTGGTTATGTCCGGGTGACACGTAGTGTGGGGAGCCCTGGGGCTGGAGGTCATTCATATCTCCTCAGGGTCTCCCACGGACTCCTTTCCCATGGGTTACAAGCCCTCTGACTCTGGACTCAAATCCTGATCCAGAAGCCCAATCCTGAGGCCCTTAGCAGCGCCCAATCCCCTTCCAAGTCCACCTCCCCCCCGCCAGACCCTCTAATGTCCCCTCCCTCCCCACACAGTGCCCAGGCATTACTCGTTTTTCCCTCTCTAAGACGTCCTTGCCTATCAACCTTCTTGTAGGGTACCCGCGTATGTCTCCAGGCGCCCACATCAGAAGCCTCCTTCCCCAGGGGTCTGTCCTCTCCCACCACCCACCATCACCACCCCTCACCATCCGGTCCTATCTTCCTCTAGGCCCCCCGGGATGCCCTCTCCTGTTCACGTGGCCACTCCCGCCATCCCTAACATGCGTTCCCTCCCCACATAGCCGGGACACCCCCCTTCCTCCCACTCCCGTCCAATCCCGACTCCACCGGGCGGGCGGAGTCTGACCTCACGAGATCCAGGAACGAATCGAGGACTTCCTTGCTGGGGGCCTCTTCTACAGCTCCCTCGGTCCCGACCGAGACGTTGATGGCGGCGAAGGCGGCGCCCGGTCGCAGGGCCAGCGCCAAGCCCACGCCGAGCGCGGACGCCAGCAGCGTGGTGACCAGGAAAAAGAGCAGCGCCCAGGCGCCCAGGCGGCCGAGCGCGCTCGAGTCCAGGCTGGCGGCGCCGCCGATCAGGCTGCACACCACCAAAGGCAGGATGATCATCTTCAGCAGGCGCAGCAGCAGCTCGCCGGGGAAGGCGAACGCCGCCAGGCGCTCGGGGCCCAGAGCTTGAGCGCCGCCGGCTCCCGAAACCCCCAGACCCAGTGCCACGCCAGCCACCACGGCCACCACGGTCAGCAGCACCAGCAGGTTGGCGCGAAGGCAGCGGCGCACCGGGTCCCGGGAACGGCAGCATCCGCCTCCTGTCGCGCCCGGGTCCTCTATGGGGACCAACGTCGGGGCACCGTTCGCGGTGGGCTCAGCCGCCGCGAACCCCTTGGCGTCTCCCCGAGGCGGATCGGCCACCATGATGAACGCCCCGGAGTTCCTTAGCGCTGGAAGCTGGGCGCGCTGGGGACTCCTTCCTGGGACGCGGACGTTCCTTAGAACCGATGAGTTTTATAACACAGCCTGGAGGCTGGAACTTTGGAAGGTTCCCCGGAGTTGGGAATTCACAGCGCCTTGGTTCCTGGAGTACCCGAGATCCCCAAGCTGGGCGCGGAGGCTCCTCTGCTCTACCAGATTGTGTCTGGAGCCCGAAATCTGGGAGCGCTGGGCTCCTTCGGCCCTAGGGATGGGAATACAGGGGTTTATCAGGCTGGGACCCGCGGTCCTTGGCTATAGAAAACTGAAGGCTTCCAAGCGGCAGAGGTCCTCAAGAGGCCATGTCCTGGTAGCGCAGATCCGGGAGGCAGGGATCCGGGGTGCCGGGGTCCTGGAAACGGAGGCTCGGGAGTTGAATCTGGGGGGCGGGAGACAGAGCTCCGGGAAGAGGGGAGCCAGGTTTTTGAGTCCAGGAGAGAAGATCCAGGCGCCTGGGTGCGGAAGGCGACAGTCCGGGTCCCTGGGAGGTAACGGCGACGGGCCCCGACAGAAACTCGCCGGCGCGCCGCGTGGCTCTGAGCCCACCGGCGGAAGCTTCCAGGATTAAGGGCAGGGGCGAGGCTTGAGAAGGCGGGGAGCGAAATGCGGGCGCCGATTGGCTGAGTCGCGTTAGGAGCCCTCCTGTGGGCGAGAGGTGGGGCTGAGGCCAGAGTCTGGCCAAGTCACCCATAGAAGGCAGACTTACAGAGTCTGACTATAGCCAGGGGCGGGGTCACCGGAGGGGGCGGAGGAGGGGCCTGGCCGGGGGCGGGGCGTTGAGGGGAAACTTTTTTTCCCGCCAAAGGAATCCGGACATGGCTAGGGGCCGTTAACCTGCAACGGTTCTCGGGCCTGAGGGTCTCTAGAAAGTGCAAGTGAGCCGCAGGTGGTTCAAAACCCAGCCTGCAACGCCTCTAGCCTGAATTCGGTCTTTTGTCGCCTCTGTCTCTCTCGGAACTCAGATTCTTCGAATGTAAAATGCAGATTATTAAAGCTCATCCCACACATAATTGGTGTAAGATTTAAGTTACATGGAATTACTTATTTTAATAATGCTAATAACTTAAAAAAAATAAATGTCCCAGGGGCGTCTGGCTGGCTCAGTCTGTGGAGAGTGTGACTCTTGATCTCGGGGTTGTAGGTTGGAGCCCATGTTGGTTGTAGAAATTACTTAAAGATAAAATCTAGGGGTGCCTGGGTGGCTCAGTCGGTTAAGCACTTGCCTTTAGCTCACTCAGGTCATGATCCTGGAGTTCCAGGATTTCCCCATAGGGATTGTTTTAAAGTGGGCGCTGCGCCCAGCATGGAGTCCAATGCAGGACTTGAACTCAGGACTCTGAGATCCAGACCTGAGCTGAGATCAAGAGCCTGTCGCTTAACGGACTCAGCCACCCAAGCGCCCCGGTTTTTTTTTTCCTCTCAAGGTAAAATGCACATGCAATGAAATGCGTAGATTGTAAGCGCCATTTGCTGATTCTGACAAATGCATAGACCTGACTTCACGGGAATCTTCATAACTCCTTGGTGAGGTGGGTCCCACTACTATACCCATTCTTCCAATGAGTAAAACTGGGGATCAGAGCCTGAAGAAGTCACGTGCCTTGAGGCCACACCTGAGGAGGCTGGGAGTTGCATGCTTGCCTCCCAAGTTCCTAACCCTCCCTATTGGGTTGCCTCCCTAAATTCCTTCTTGGTCAGTTGTGAGCCCTTTCCAGTGAATCAGTCACCATTCCCTACTCCTCCTCCCGGAGGTATTGAAATCCTTATTCTTTGCGGGGACTGGGTGGCACAGCCGGGTGAGCATCTGACTCTTGGTTTCCACTCAGGTCATGATCTCGGGGTCGTGAGATTGAGCCCCACCTCGGGCTCTACACTCAGTGAGGAGTCTGCTCGAGATTCTTTCTCCCTCTGGTCCTCCCACTCATGCTCCATCTCCCTCTCTTTAAAATAAATAAATAAATCTTAAAAAAGAGAAAAAAAGAAATCCCAAATCCTCCCTCAGCTGCTCTGTTCTCTGAAGACATTTCAGACATCAGCATTTGCTCAAAGTTGGTAGATACTGATAACCTCAGAAGCTTCCTCCTACGGCAGCTGCCGGGGCCTCAGGCAAGTCATAACCTCTGTGAGCCTCTGTCTCTAGCCCAGTAAAATGGGAAGAAGAGCAGATCCCACTTCCGGGGTGTTGTGAGGATCATATGTTTAGAGCAATTAGACAGTGCAGGTCAGCCCTTTAAAAGGTTACCCAGGGGGCGCCCAGGTGGCTCAATTGGTTAAGTCTCTGCCTTCAGCTCAGGTCATGATCTCGGGGTCCTGGGATCGAGCCCCACATCGGGCTCTCTGCTCAGTGGGAAGCCTGCTTCTCCCTATCTCCCCCCACTCCTATGTGCTCTTTCTCTCTCTCATATAAATAAATAAAATCTTTAAAAAAAATAAATAAAAAGTTACCCAGTACTATTCCTGTAATTGCTGTTGTTATTATTATTGGAAAACATGGTTTGGTCTCGGACCAGCTCTGGGGATTGCTGGGCCCTGGTATTGAGCTCTCCGTCCTGGTCACCGCCAGCCCCAGCCCCAGAGGCACATGGGAAGGAGCCTGGAGAACTTTCAGTGACATCCTGGGGGATCTCAGGCATTGACACCAGGCAAGCTGAGGTTTGCCCAGGCTCTGAAGACGGGTCGCCCAGGCACACCGGAATGTGGTGTGGTCCTCCTCCCTGTGTCTCTCCGATGCTCTCCCCTCCCAAGTCCTCCCTCCTCAACTACTTCAGGAAGCCCCCGCCCCCATCTCACCCTCGTAGGCTGAGTCTTACTCATTTAACAAACTCCCACCCAGCTCTCCTGTGCTTGGTTGTGGGCTAGAGAGTGTGGGCACTAAAGCTACACGGACACAGGTTCGAATCCTGACTCCACCACTTACCAACTGAGTATCGGTTTTCTCATTTGTCCCGAAGCCAACGTTAAGCATAAATTCGAGCGTGCACACAGTGACCCTTGATACAAAACCTGAGGAGCCAGTTCCTGAGCACTTGATTTGCTCTACAAATATTCCTTGGGATCTTTCCTCAGGGCCAAGGGCTGTTCATTGTGTAGGGATTCAGCAGTGAGGAAAAAAGAAAAGGAAAAAGAAAGGAAGGAAGGAAGGAAGGCAAACTCCTTGTCAGCATTCTATCGAGAGGAGACAGGGAAATAAACTTCGTCTACCAGAGGGTAAGTTCTGGAAAAAGATGAAACTCTGTATGGCAGAGAGATGGAGTGGTCAGGATGGGCCACTCTGAGGCAGTGACATTTGCAACAGGACCTGTAAGACAAGAAGGAGGCTTCACTATAGAAAGAACATTCTAGGGTAAAGAAAGGGCAGGTGCAAAGCCCTGAGGCGGCCGGAGAAGAGGCTTCCAGCTTGTCTGAAATGCTGTCAAGACGTTATCTTATCTCCACTAATCCTTGAGACCTCACACTCTGCTTTCACCGATTTGGAAGCAGCTGGGGACACAAGGTGTGTTGTGGCCCAAACCTCCTACCTGGGCAAGGAATTCAAACTCAGGTGTCCCTGACCCCAGCCTGTGCCCTCCACCCCTATCAGAAGCCACAGCTACCCCTGCAGTTGGGTCCTCCCCACACAGAGGCATTTCTTTCAAGGGACTAGCATCTCTTCTGAACTCAGTGTTTGACCCTGTGATGGGCAGGTACTGGGGACCGATACATTCCTGGCCCTTTCCTCTGCGGACTCAGGGTACAACAAGGGAGACCACCCATCCCCAGAAGGGGATGACACGGAGTGAGCAGAGCAGGGATGGCAAGCCCAGAAAGGATGCTTAACCTAACCTGGGGGTCAGGGAGGGCTTCCTGGAGGAGGGGACATCTCAGCTGGGATAGCAAAAGGTTGCACCAAGCCCAGGGAGGGAGTATTTCAAGCAAAGGGACCTGTACATGCAAAGCCCCAGAGCTGAGAAGAGCCCAGAACGTGCCCAAGCATGGATCTAACTTGGTCACCCCACCCTCTAAATGGCTTCCTTTGGGATAAAGTCCAAATTCTTCAGCTGGGCATCTGTCTATCCAGTAACTCCTTCCTTCAATCAGTCAACAAACCACATCCACAGAAGACAACACAGAGAGACGTCCAATAGAATGAGATGGATGTGGAACTGGGTGGAGGGCAGGTTTCAGTAACAAAGCAGGTGTCAAGAAATATTGTTAAAGGGGAATACACAAGGTACAGGAGGCGGGAAGCAGCACAGCACACCCTGTAATCTGCGGGGAAACAGATACGACCAGCCTCTGTATCGACGCTCTCTGTAAGAATCCACAGAAGAGCTCTCTCTCTGTCTCTCTCAAATAAATAAATAAAAAGCTTAAATTAAAAAAAAAAAATCTACAGGAGGTGCTCGAAGTGGTGGCTTTCAGAAAGAAAAGCGTGGCTTTGAGGTTCAACGAGAGCCCCGTGGTTTGCTCAGCTGTGGGGCAGAGATGATAGTGTCTGGGCTCAGAGATCCTGCTGTGGGGGGTGGGGGATGAACCAAGTTCACGGGTACGAAGTGCTTTGGTTGGTAGCTAGCAAACTGCAGCCTCATGGTATTTTAAGCCGTGATGGCTTCTCGAGATCAACATTTTATCTAAGGTGTAAGTTAAAAAGACGCAGAGACCCACAGGCTGGTGCTCCTTCCCTCCCTCCCCCTCCCCCTGCCCCCCCCCCAGAAGTGTTCATGCCTTGGGGCCTCTGGGCGAAAGGAACCTTGAGAGGCAGCAGGTGGGACCGGACAGCTGGGTTTCAGGTGCCCTGCCAGCAGGTGGCGAGGCTGGGGGCAGGGAAGTTTCTAGCAGCAGCCCCCCCATAATCAGGGCCCTGGGTATGGAGAAGTGGCCCAGGCTTGTTGGGCAACACCAGCCTAGGGCAGCCTTCACATAGCTGCCGCTCTCACATTTCAAGTGCAAGTGTGCCAGATGGGGAGACAAGTTGGAGGGAGGAGTCTCTGAGACTCAGGGGAGCCCAGAACTTTCGGGAAGTGTGGGGTGGGTCTGAGCCAAGAGGGGAAGGTTTGAGGGTCCGGTCCAGGATTGGCCAGGAGCGTCCCACCCCCTTCCCTCCTCCAGCTTTGGAGCAAAGTATACCAACTAGTCTCAGCCAGCCATTCCTCCTGTTCAGCCAAACCTCCTACCCAGATTCGAATTTCATCGTTGGAAAAGAAAAGGCCTGGGCCTCTGGGAAGGAGGTGAGAGGGGCCAGGAGGTGGTTGGGCTGAGCAGTGTGGAATCTGGACTACGCAGAGCACGGAGAACCCTCTTGGCATCACTTTGCCATCTATGAAATGGGTATTGTTTGGAATGGTGTCCTCCATCAGAGGACTGGGTATTGGACAGCAGGAGGGACTGAGTTAACTTCAGGGCATCGAGCCTTCTCCATCAGACCTGTGATCAGGAGCTCCCGGAGGACGCAGCCTCTGCTTCTCTCTCAGATTTGCATTCATGTGTCCCACAAACTTTTTCTGAGCACCTACTGGGTCCCTGGCCTT